TCCTATGCCTGAAAAGAGTCCGGGTCCCCACAGGTACATGATGAGGAGGACACTAACTCATGGGACTTAGATTCAACCAACTATGCCCGTCGCCCCACCCCAATATACTTATTTTTGTCAACACTTTGACTTCTATTCAAGTAGATTCTTACACAAGACAAAATAGTGCCTGCAGGCTGGAAGTAACAATATGTGCCACAGTACAATACAATACAATACAATACAATACAATATTCTTTATTGTTAATTCATTAAGAATTACAATAGTGTCGATACAATAGTGAATTGTACATGTTAATTTTCATAAAATTCCTTTATTGAGTAGAAGGGTCTTGCGATTAGCCACTTCTTCAACTCCTGGTGTAGCTTGTTGCCAGTCAGGTCTCTCAGGTAGTCAGGTAGATGGTTCCTCAGCTTGCAGCCGGTGTAGGAAGGTTTTTTCTCCCAAAGAGTTGTTCGGTGAACTGGTAGTGCAAATTTGGAGCCATGACGGGTGTTGTAGTGGTGCAGGTCTTGGTTTCTTGGGGGGTTTATTTCATTCACATACTTTACGGTTTCAAGTATGTAGAGAGACACTACTGTGAGGATTCCTAGGTTTGCGAATACTAGTCTGCAAGTCTGTGGTGGGACAAGGTTGGCGAGGGCTCTTATGGCTTTCTTTTGAAGGACAAGAATTCGATTCATATTTTTTGTTGAAGTTCTTCCCCACACTGTCAAGCCATATCTAAGATGCGACTCTACCAGTGCGAAGTAAGCTGTTTTGGCCACAGAGAGTCCGCCTATGTAGTTTATTCTTCTGACGACATATATTCCAGTACTGATTTTTTTGCTTAGGTGGTTGATGTGCTCTTTCCATGTTAGTTTGTTATCAAGGATAACACCGAGGAATTTTGTGTGGTTTTCTATTGTTACATCCTCTAATTGAGGGACTACGTCTTTTTTCTTACTGAAATTCAGAGTTGTAGTTTTTGTGGGGTTTATTGCTAAGGCATTGTTCTTTGAGTAGAGGATAGCTTTATTTAAGATCGATTTTGAATTAAGGTAAAGGCTTTGGGCTGTGTGTTGGGCTGAGTAAACCTGCATTCTAAGCGAATTTCCATTTGCTTGATTAGATTTTCAATTAAATATATTTTTTAAATACAGTATCATTAGGATTAACAAGTACTTGAGGTCTGCTGCTACAGGGAAGGTAATGATGTGTGTTTTTAATAAAATATAGCTTAAGTGTACTTATTCTACATAAGAGGTCACCGACCCAGGTCTTACTGCTCCACCTGCGGTAATAGCTACTTCCATATAGGGAAATTCGCTAAAAAATATGTTTGCGGTAGGAATTTTTAAGTACACTAACAAGAAGGCAGTTAAAGAACGGTCATATTGACCTTATGCCATTAACAAAATGTGTTGGAAATAAATCCTCACCTCACATGTAAATAGGCCTCTATCTTTTAATAATGTATATTTTAATATTGTAAATAAATTCACATTCTTAGGCTGTGTCATTGTTTCTTTCTACTTTGACAGCACGCTGTGAAAGTCTTAGAATGAGCCTGGGCTCTTTTCAGACTGTCCTGGGAGGTTCCGGGCTCTTTAAAGGCGTATACCTGAATTTTGGGCTTTTTTCAGGTGCGCCCCTAAAAAGATATCTATGTTCGCAGGCGTAGGAGACGATCATAATGTCTTTACAGTTGAAGAAATTGTCCACAATGTCTCCACTATTTTAGAATATGATCATGCAATCGGGTAAAGCCACAACAGGACTGAATCTGACCTGGGCCAGTCTGAGCCTTCTGGAGGTTCTGGGGCAGTCATGCGGCATTTTCTGAGAGTGTGACATTAGGACTGAATGGAATTTCCTGGTTCTCCCTGCCTAATTCCCATCACCCTACCCCCCGGACACATAGTGAAATAGTGGGCTAGGGCTAGTGAACGGATCGGCTCATGGAATCGTTCACGGAAATATTTACTCCATGTAAATTTGTCAGCACTTCTCTTTATTACACACTTGTCTTTTTTAAATAATTTAAACATGTACAATTGCTCGTTTATATAATAATAATATTGTAGTAAATATTGTTATGGTTTGAGGTGAGGTTATGTTAGGATAGGCTATGATGGGACATTTCTGTCATCATCTGAAAAATTATGCCGCACAGTCAAGTTTGATCTCTTCGAAAACACGACGCTTCAATTCGGTGAACAATTCCATGAGGTGATCCGTTCCCAGCGACCTTGTGAACGACTCCATTGATCAGTTCTCTAGAATCTGTGTGTGTAGATAGGGAAAAGGGAGGTAGCTGCGGGAGAATAGGAAGAAACCGACGCGACGAGGGAGATTTAACTCAGTCCTATTGTCGCACCCCTGAAATTGTCCCTGCGGACCCAGGCCGGACCAGGTCAAATTCGGTCCTGTTGTCACACCACCGCAATCATGGTGCTACCGCAATTTAGAAGGAAATCTAAGATGTCTTCTCGATAATAGGAGACAATGCCTCGCGATGTAAAAAGAATACACAATGTCTCCGCGATTATGGGAGGCAAACATTACATCTTCGACATTGAGGAATATTTTCTCGATTTCACCCACACATGGGAGATGAATACTTATTGAAATAAGATTATTTCCCAGCAAATCCCCTCAAAATTTTAAACTATTTTTTTCATTGTCAAATACTTGTATAAAAAAATTTAGTCTACAAACCTCATTTAGTATGTTTTAATTAATTAATATAATTAATTTGTTTATGTTCTATTTATTTGTATTCTTTATCTGTGTCTGTACAAATTCAGAAAATGTTGCTTTTGAAGAAAAAATATTGCCATGTAATTTATTTTAAACTCAGTTCTTTGTTTGTTAATGATTTTGAGACAACTTATTCTTTTAAAGTGTAAAGTTCCTCAGCTAGCATGGGCACCAAAGCAGTTAGTTGTTTGTGTACATCTGCCTTGTCTCATTGTGATTACTTCTGGTTGAACAGTGTGCATCCTAAGAAGAGTGTTAGTTCTCAGATTAAGTGTCAACTACTGCAGTATCCCTGGCTCCCAGTGTCGAGTCGTATTATCACTCAGAGTTTTTAGGAAGGTATTTCAGGAATTCGGTTTTAAAACCAACTTAGGTTCCCAGTAAACAAACAATGTGTTGCGTTTTATGACCAGTGACCACATAGTGCTGCTATGATGTTGCTATATGTAACAGTAACAGCTGTTGGTGTTGTATATGAAGGCGTAGACTGGTGACGTTATTGGTCTGATTACACAGGCCTTGGTTTGCTGTTTGGTATCAGTTTATTTGATACATGTATTTCCTTTGCTCATGTACCCATGTTTGTTACAGGTGAGTTATGATTTTCTTCCCGTTCTCATTTTGTAAGTACCTTTCTTTTTATGCATTATGCATGTTTGCTTACAACTGAGATAGAATTTTGGATTAATCATAGTTCTTGTTTTATTTTATTTTATAAAAATCCACTTAACACATTATTTACACTAACTTGTAATTCGGGATGGTTCTAGTTTTTTTAAGATCTACATCGCAGTAACAGTTCCATTAAATGTAGACTGTAAATCAAAAACATATGGTTTAGGAGTTTGAAACTTATTTAAATTAATCTATGTGTAGACTACTTGGCTTAATTGTGAGGGTCTCAGTTGATTTTCCAGCAACTTATAGGCTATATCTTAACATATTGCTAGTTAATAATGGCATTTTATGTATACCCTAGTGCATTATTAATAGAACTTGAATTTATTGATAGGTTTACCTCAACTAAAGGTTGTCAAACCAACTAGTATTTGAAGCAATTTGGCTATTATGAGACAGTTGTAATAGTTGTGCAAAACAAAAAAAAAAACTATCTTTTTCTTGCTTCATCACACCTTCTCACTCATACAACATAAGAACTAATGAAGCAGTTTGACTTGAGGTATTCTGAATTTAAAATAAGTAATAGCCAAGCCTTACGATTCTGACTCTGAAAATTTACTTGACTTATTTTAAAATCAAAGCAACCTACTGTAACATTTTTAAGAATGAGTAACTAAACCTTGCTTTCATTATTCTGTCAGACAGCTCTTGACAAGAAATAACAATTAGTTGAGAAACAGTTTTCCAAGAAAATTGAATTGCCTGTTTATACAAGACGTAGCTGATAAAATATTTGTTGAGGTAGGATGCAAGTGTTATCAGATGAGGTGACCTAGTTGTTAAATGTTAATGTGCCCATCACTCTTTAGCCCTGGTAGTTATCATCAGACATTCAGTGCTAAATGGAATACATCTTCATTGTTTTAACATTGTTAAAATCATAACATGGTCTTTTTATTACCGATATTTTAAAATGAATGAATTCTTTATTTTACCAGGCAAATTTAGACCCACATGTTTTTAAAGTTATTTGACCGTCTCACAAATTGGTCATCAAATTCACTTATGAGATCATAATTAACATCATAACATCATTCACAGTGGCTGACCATCACCATACCAACAGCTGTCAAAACCTTTTCATTGATCATCATCTACCAGTTCCGTAGCATTGTCACTAATTTACTAATCAAATAATTTTTATTACAATCTTCCTAAGGTTAGTAATTATTTTCTGCCAGCTTTACATTCATTGAATATGGGAAATACATTTCTTTAATATATGGTTCAGGCATTGAAAAAAGATTCAAAAAGTGTTATGCTATAGCTAATGAAACAAAAAGAGTAGTGTATGCATCAAACCTATCAGACTTATCAGTCTTATTCCTCGACATTAAATTAAAGAAAGTGGGTTCTGTTACAGTAATTTTTTACTGTTTATGTCTATGCATGGCAATGTTTAAAACTTGAGCAGATAATGTTTCTGTTTGTAGGTCATTCTGGTTTTCATTTTTTAAACTAAACTAAAGGCTTTAAATGTCATTAATACTATTGCATGAGGGATGTGTTTTCAAAACATTATTGAACTATGCGTGTCGTATATAAGAAACTGATTAACACAACTAAACTATTGCAGATAATCTAACTTTAAAGGCTGCATGGTACAGTAGAAGTAGGTTAGCCTTTAACAATGACTCCCCCGCAAACCTGCAAGAAGAAAGACAAAATGTCTTTGTTCCAACTGCTACACTTGAGCTATGAACAGCTGATGGAGTATTGCTTCCTGAGACATTGGATATTCCGCTCAGACTCTCAGTCGCAGTTGTTGATAAATGAGACGAGACTGTGCGCTAAAGTCCTCAATCCCAGGTAATACAAGAGTTGGTCAGCTGATCGGTGTTGGGGTGTGATAGTGAGTGCTGTGCAAGCTCTGGAATAAGTTAAATAATATTACTTTTACAACTCACAGTAAACCCCCGATTGACCTAAAGAGGCAGGTAACTTGTGTTTCGGTTTAGTAGGGTGCAGTGAAAAGGGGTTTTGCAATTGTTTACCTATAGATGACTTGCGGTCTAGCTTAGCGTATTGAAGGGTTTCCCATACTATTACAATCTATTTTTTCTCCAGGTTTAAACTTTGTGCTATTATCGGTCTGTCTATTCTGCATTAGAAATGTACACTTTATAAAAACTAATACACAATTTGCAATATACATATAATTTCCTCAATCTAATATGTCTGTTACCAAGATTTCTGTCGCCATTACCTCAGTTATGTGTGTCTAGGTACTCCAGCTTGTTATCAGCACTTTTCTTATCTAATTGTTTGATATAACTATACACATACAGTACTTTAAATGATTTCTTTGCCACGTGCTCAAACCCTTTGTGGTGTATGCCCAAGTTTCATATGAAAATTAATAAATACTATTGAACCAAGTTTGTTTTTCGGGTTTCTCCCAGGTATTTTATATTCCTTTGCCTTGTTAGAATAAAAGAAAAGTGAAAAAAATGTCCTTTAACTATTTAAACAAGTTTTTTCCTTATTTACTGTATATTTTGTTCACTCAATACAAAGCAATACACGTTCATTTCACCACTAAGCTGCATAAGCCTTATAAAAGGCTGGTAAACAGCGTTTCATTATTTCACTTTTGTTTTTCCTTTTATCATGTTGAGTCTGCCATTATTGGGTTTCTACTTCTGAAAAAGTAACAAAACTTGTAAATGTATACAGTACCGATTAACTAGAAAACTATTTAACATGACCATAGAAATCAAATGGTTGAGTAGAGAAAATTAACAAAATATGACAGTACAACAAAGTTTGTATATTCATAAATCTCTTATATTAATACGTGAGGGCTGTTTTTTGTGAACAAAACTCCTTATTTTTTGACCGATTTTAATGTTTGAGGTGTTAAATAAATCGTCTCAATTTGTAGTTTTGCATTAAGGTTTTAGAATTAAAAAAAAACACCCTTAAGGGCACGAGACGCTCTCAAAGGTCGCATTTTCCCCATAAGAATTACATTGAACAAATTAAAAAAAAAAATACCCCCGCCGCAGCAAACCTGCCGACTAAGCGAATTTCCATTTGTCTGAATTGATTTTCAGTTAAATATATTTTAATAAGATTAGGTTTAACGAGTACCTAGGTTTGCTGCTACAAGGAAACTAATAAAGTGTGTTTTTGAGTAAAATATTGATAGCTTAGTACAAAATAAATAAATTTGCCAAGTTTGATCAAAATATATTCATAAACAAGCAAAGTACAACATTTGACAATATTCTCCATAAGAATAACATGTGAATTTTAAATTTACAATTTTTTTAATTTTCTCCGTTACTAATATTCGAACAAAAATACTTTTGTATACTAAATTATTTGTTTTTTTAAGCTCTTTAAGAAGGTTTAGAGAAAAATTGGGAAATTTTGTGTTTTGAGGGTCAAAAGTGAGAAAAACAAATTTTTACCCCATAAAACCCCCCGTAAAGCCCCGTTCCCATGGTCCGATCGTGCTCGTTCGCGAACTCATTCAAGTTTATCCCGCTTTACACCTTTAAACCAAATTTCATCAAAATCGGACAAAAATTACTCAAGTTATCGCGTTTACGGACGTATATATATATATATATATAAAAATTTGAACGAATAGTGTTTTTGGCCTCTGGGGACATCAAAATGAAAAAGTAAATCGGTCCCGGGTCTAGGTCTTACCGTGCCACCTACGGTAATAGCTACTTCCCTATAGGGAAATTCGCTAAAAACAGCTGTATATAAAAAAAACTCACCAGCTTTTTGGGAGTAAATATTGATGTTTGTCATATTTAGGAGGTTATAGCTTTGACTATTGATACAACATCCAATATTGATACAGTATCCATTAGTCAATGGTTATAGAAAAATCCAAACAGTTAATCAATTTTGATGGAAGAACAGAAAATGTCTTGAGTTTAAAGGAGAAATATTTAAAATAGGAGGAGGAGAAAATTAATAGGAAATCTTATACTTATGAGAAGAGTAGAAGAGAGGCCTGGTCTCACAGTAGGAATTCAGGTACACAATCACTTGTGGAGATGAATAATTTTTGCCAGTTATACTATGCAACTTATTTTGGAAGTAAAAATAAAACCATGAGGAATATATACATTATGTTGTCACAGTGGTAAAGTAAACATACCTAATGTCAGATCAAATAAATACATGCAAGAAATGTTTACTGGTAACAGCCTTAAGTCGGGAAACATTTGTAGAAAACAAAAAAAAAATACCCCCGCCGCAGCAAACCTGCCGTCTAAGCGAATTTCCATTTGGCTGAATTGATTTTCAATTGATCTATTTAAATAACATTAGGTTTAACGAGTACCTAGGTTTGCTGCTACAAGGAAACTAATAAAGTGTGTGGTTTAAGTAAAATAATTATTGCTTAGTATAAAATGAATATATTTGCCAAGTTTGATCAAAAGATATCCATAAACAAGCAAACTACAACATTTTACAATATTCTCTATAAGAATAACATGGGAATTTTAAATTTACCATTTTTTTAGTTTTCTCCGTAACCAATAACTGTACAAAAACACTTTGATATACTGAATTGTTTGTTTTTTAAAGCTCTTTAAGAAGGTTTAGAGAAAAATTGGGAAATTTTGTGTTTTGAGGGTCAAAAGTGAGAAAAACCAATTTTTACCCCATAAAACCCTATTCCCATGGTCCGATCATACTGGATCGCGAACTCATTCAAGTTTATCCCGCCTTACACCTTCAAAATAAGTTTCATCAAAATCGGATAAAAATTACTCAAGTTATCGTGTTCACGGACACATATATATATATATAAATCTATATATATATATATATATACATATATAAAAATTTGAACGAATGGTGTTTTTGGCCTCTGGGGACACCAAAATGAAAAAGTAAATCGGTCCCGGGCCTAAGTCTTACCATGAGACCTACGGTAATAGCTACTTCCCTATAGGGAAATTCGCTAATAAAGCCAGCTTCTAAATATGATAAAATATTTTATTTTTACAAGAAGCATATATTATTTCAAAGCGCTATTAAATAGTGTGAGTATTTCAATTATTTACTTAAGCTTTAAGTCGGATCTTTTCAACTCATTGAAAATTATGACTACTATTACTGTAGTTTTAAAATAACTCCTGTATAATACCGGTACTTGAGAATTGCTCGATTTCGAGGTACACTAGTGTTAACTTAAAACTTGTTTAACATACAAGTTTTAAAATGTAAACATACAATTTAAACACATTACACTTTTGTATGAATATATTTTTAAAGAAACACGTGGTCAGTCAGTATGAGGAATTCACCTAGATTTTATAATATCAGTTAGTAAAACTATTTATTTCAGATATCTTTTAATGCAAGTAAGTATTGCTCAAGTGTTTGATTGCTTGCTTGCATTTTCCTCCAGGTATTTCAATTTTAGCGAATTTCCCATATAGGGAATAAGCTATTACCGTAGGTCTCATGGTAAAACCTAGGGGGCGATGTCTACTTGTACCGGCGTCTAGTTGTACCTGCTGCATTTTGGTGACAGGCGTCTAGTTGTACCCCGTCCAAAGCTGTAGAGACAACTTGACGATGGTGCGGACGTCTAGTTGTCTCTACGTCTAGTTGTCTCTACGTCTAGTTGTACCTCTTAAAAATCTACAGGTACAACTAGTCGGGAACGTCACCGTCTACTTGTACCTCATACGTCTGCGTCTACTTGTACCTACGACTACTTGTACCTACGACTACTTGTACCTACGACTACTTGTACCTACGACTAGTTGTACCTACGCCTACTTGTACCTACGTCTAGTTGTACCTGCGGCTAGTTGTATCTCCCCTTCAACTTGTCACCGGTTTAAGAGATTTATTTTATTTCTTTAAAAATCATACAATCTTACAACAATTTATTATAAACAACTTGCTACAAAAGCCAGGAAAATTTGGCTTGTCTGCAGCTCATTGAGAAACAGTTTGTTATTAGTCTTTCTTTGCTTTTGTTGACGTTATTTTTAATAAATAATTTATATTACTCCAGAGGTTTAACTCTACTACTAAAGGCAGCAAACATGTTTGTGAATAAATAATGGTTTACTAAGGTAGCTTTGGTCTTGTGTTTGATGATAATGATAATAAAAAGGCTTCCCTGATTGAAAGATTGGAAATCGTCTTCGTCAAAAATGAAAAGGCAAATAAAGGTGTGTTGAGATAAGCTTAGTTCTTGGTCAAAACCGCTAAATTAGCATCCCTACGAAGTTATTATTTCTACGTTTATGCTCCTTTTGGAAAGGTTTAACAAAATTAGTGTAAAGTAAAAGCATCCCCTTGACCAAACGTATCGCTAGATTTGTTTCTGATCAACATAAAAACTACTATTAGCCTAGTGTAAGATTATGTGGTGGAATTCCTCCTAAAGGTGCGATTGATTTTAAATATTCTATCAAAAAGGGGTCTATTCAACGGCTGATTCCTAACTATTTTGCGACTGGTTAGGTTTCCATTACCCAGTTAAAAAACAATTAATTACTTTTCATCAGAATCTTCGACATGCATATTTTTGGTTGGTTTTAAGAAACGGAAACTACCTCTAGGTTTTACTGTTATATATGGATGCTTCCTTTACCACCGTACATGCTGGGCTATATTATTTGAACCTTTTTGGAGTACCTGGTTAAAATCTCCCCTAAAAAATTATGTGTTTCCGCCCATTGGAACTTGTCATAGTACTTACTTAATGATTAATGAACTAATATATTGCCTGTCCTGAACGAACCTATTTCATCTTTATTCCCAGGTTGATTTCCAAGAGTGGCCGTTGAGGTTTATCCCTTTATACAATAATT